CCCCCACCCCGTGTCTGTTTGCATCATCACTGCCATCAGCTTCTTTATTGTCATCGCCAACACGGCCATGGCCATCACCCCGTCACCATCGCCATCCCCACCACCTCCTGCAGCCCCCACTGTCCCCGTCTGCACTGGCACTGCTGTTGCCATCACCATCATCACCGCACTCCGCATCTGCATCCCCGTCCCATCCCTGGCTGCATCCTTGTCCCCGTCCCCAGCTGCATTTTCATCCCCATCCTTGTCCTGTCCCCATCCCAACCCCAATCCCCATCTCAACCCTAATCCCCATCCCAATCCTGTCCCTGTCCCCATCCCCATCTCAATCCCATTCCTGTCCCAATCCCATCCCCTTCCCAACCCTCAACCCCATCCTAATCCTGTCCCCATCCCCGTCCCAATCCTAATCCCCATCCCAATCCTCTCCCTCTCCCAATCCCATTCCCGTCCCCACCTCAATCTATCCAAATCCCAGTCTGAATCTTGATCCCAATCCCAATCTGACTCCCAATCCCATCCCATCCCATTCCATTCCATTCCCCCCCACCCCAGGACACCCCAAACCTCAGGATGGGCCGCGCAGGACCCGTCCAGGGCACCCAGCACACCCCCCAACCTCCCCTTCCCACCAGATTTCCCCCTTTCCCAGTAACGGGAACCCTCCGCCCCCCCCCAGCCCCCCCAAACCCCTCTGCTCTGCCAACACTTTCCCCCTTTTTGCACTTTTTTGCCCCCAAAAGCCAAGGATCCCTCCTGGGAATCGGCACTTTGGGAACACGCCCCAAGTCCTGCAGTCGCATCGGGGCGGTTGGGGGGTGTCACCCCCCTCCGCCTTCCCCCAGCACTCAAAACCCCCATCATTTCAGGGGTTTTTTTGCCCCATTTTTATTTTTAGGGGGGTATTTTCCATTCCAAACCACACCCCAGCCTCCAATTTAGTTCCTTTGGAGCCGGATCCTCCCAGCTTCCCCTTGAACGGCGCCAGATTAAACCCTTTGGACAGAGTTTTTAGTAACTTCAGATTCTTTAAAAATTAAAGATTTATTTTTTAAAAGCCACTTTCCCCCTTTTTTTTTTACCCGAAATCCCCCAAACAGAGCCCAGGGAAGGGTTGCAAGGTGGAGGCCGGGACGCTGCTTGTTTTTCCCAACACTTTTTGGGGTTTTCCTGACATTGTTTTCCAGCTCTCTGGGCCGGATCCTGCCCGGCCCATCGCCGGCCATGGGAAATGCTCCATTTTAGGGGGATTTTCCCCTTTTGGGGGGCTTTTTTTGTTGTTTTTTTTTTTAATCCCCTCTGCCCTAACCACTCTATTGGACTTTTTTGGGGGGGGAGGGGGGCACCCAGCAGGATCCGGCCCCGGTGCGCGAGCTGGACGCTCCGCATGGGAAAAGTTGCCCCAAACTCTTGCTTTTCCCCCGTTTTAGTCCGTCCACCCCCAATTTAGCTTCCCCCCCCCATTTTAGCTCCTC